CCACCAGCAGTGCAAAAGAGATCCTCTTTCTCCACATCCTCACCAACATCTGTCATTGCCTGAGTTGTTAATATTAGCCATTCTGACAGGCGTGAGGTCATATCTCATTGTGGTTTTGATTTGTATTTTCCAGATGATGAGTGATGTTGAGCATTTTTTCATGTGTTCGTTGGCCATAGAGAAGTGTCTATTCATGTCTTTTGCCCATTTCTTCACTGGATTATTTAGTGTTGAGTTTGATAAGTTCTTTATAGATTTTAGATACTAACCCTTTATCTGATATGTCATTTGCAAGTATCTTCTCCCATTCTGTCGGTTGCCTTTTAGTGTTGCTGATTGTTTCCTTCACTGTGCAGAAGCTTTTCATTTTGATGAGGTCATAATAGTTCATTTTTGCTTCTGTTTCCCATTCTTATGGAGACGTGTTGAGTAAGAAGTTGCTGCGGCCAAGGTCAAAGAGGTTTTTGCCTGCTTCCTCCTCTAGGATTTTGATGGCTTCCTATCTTACATTGAGGTCTTTCATCCATTTTGAGTTTATTTTTGTGTATGGTATAAGAAAGTGGTCCAGGTTCATGTTTCTGCATGTGGCTGTCCAGTTTTCCCAGCACCACTTGCTGAAGAGACTGTCTTCATTCCATTGAATATTCTTTCCTACTTTGTCAAAGATTAGTTGGCCATACGTTTGTGGATCCATTTCTGTGGTTCTCTATTCTGTTCCATTGATCTGAGTGTCTGTTCTTGTCCCAGTACCATATTGTCTTGATTATTACAGCTTTGTAATACAGCTTGAAGTCCAGGATTGTGATGCCTCATGCTTTGGTTTTCTTTTTCAAGATTGCTTTGGCTATTTGGGATCTTGTAATATTCCATACAAATTTTAGGATTTGTTCTAGCTCTGTGAAGAATGCGAATATAAAATCAATGCATTGGTGAAGTTAGTTGCATTCCTATACACCAACAATGAAGCAACAAAAAGAGAAATCAAGGAATCGATCCCATTTGGGCTCACTGCACCAAAACCTATAAAATACCTAGGAATAAATTCAACCAAAAAGAGGAAAAATCTATACACTGAAAACTATAGAAATCTTATGAAACAAATTGAAGAAGACACAAAAAAAAGTGGAAAAATATTCCATGCTTCTGATAGAAGAACAAATATTGTTAAATGTTTATTATACTATCCAAAGCAATCTACATATTCAATGCAATCCCTAATAAAACACAGCATTTCTTCACATAGAGCTAGAACAAATCCTAAAATTTATGGAATATTACAAGATCCCAAATAGCCAAAGCAATCTGAAAAGAAAAACCAAAGCATGAGGCATCACAATCCTGACTTCAAGCTGTATTACAAAGCTGTAATAATCAAGACAATATGGTACTGGGACAAGAACAGACACACTCAGATCAATGGAATAGAGAAACCACAGAAATGAATGGATCTGTCAAACGTGAGCATAATAACTAATTGACAGTAGGAAAGAATATTCAATGGAATGAAGACAGTCTCTTTCAGCAAGTGGTGCTGGGAAAACTGACAGCCATGCAGAAACATGAACCTCCGGGACCACTTTTCTATACCATACACAAAAATAAACTCAAAATGGATGAAAAGACCTCAATGTAAGATAGCCATCAAAATCCTAGAGAGGAAGCAGGAAACCTTCGACTCTGGCCGCAGAAAGCAACTTACTCAACACGCCTATAAGCATCGGGAAACAGAAGCAAAAATGAACTATTATTATGACCTCATCAAAATGAAAAGCTTCGCATGGAAGGAAACAATCAGCAAATAATTTTAAAAGGCAAACCGGAATGGGAGAAGATAATACTTGCAAATGCATATATATCAGATAAAGGTTAGTATCTAAAATCTATAAAGAACTTATCAAACTCAACACTAAATAATCCAGTGAAGAAATGGGCAAAAGACATGAATAGAACACTTCTATGGCCAACTTAAATATTATGAAAAAAAATGCTCAACATCACCATCTGGAAAATACAATCAAACCAATGATATGACCTCACGCCTGTCAGAATGGCTAATATTAACAACTCAGGCAAATGACAGATGTTGGTGGGAGGATGTGGAGAAAGAGGATCTCTTTGCACTGCTGGTGGGAATGCAAACTGGCAGCTACTTGAAAACAGGAAATTGAGTTTCCTCAAAAATTAAAAATAGAACTACCTTACGACCCCAAAAAAATTGCACTACTAGGTATTTATCCGATACAGGTGTGCTGCTCGGAAGGGGCACATGCAACCCAATGTTTATAGCAGCAGTATCAACAATAATAGCTAAAGTATGGAAAGAGCCCAAATGTCCATCGACGATGATGGATAAAGAAGTTGTGGTATATATATATATGTATACACACACACACACACACGCACGACGACGCTATTAATAATGGAGTATTATTAATGCAATCAAAAGAATCTAAATCTTGCCATTTGGTAAATTACGTGATGGAACTAGAGGGTATTATGCTAAGAAATTACTCAGAGAATGACAAATATCATATGACTTCACCATATGAGGATCTAAGATAAAAGTTCAGAGAACATAAGGGAAGGAAAGCAAAAAATAATATAAAAAAAGAAGGAGGGGACAAAAATAAGAGACTCTAATTATGGAGAACAAACAGAGGGCTACTGGAGGGGTTGTAGGAGGAAGATGGGC